TTATTTATTAAAGTAATTGTTATCTATAAAATTGTGTCATATATTTATACCCGAGTTACTAAATGCCACTTAAGGAAGTTACTATCACTCTAAGATTATCAGAACTATTTTGAAGCTGATATTCCAATCAACACAAACAAATGATAAAATGCATATTAATACCCAGAGTAGAAAGATAGATAATAGATCTAACAATAACATTTTAAATATACCTCTTATATACAAATTATTAAACTCTTTTAACAAAAATATACCTATCTAGTATTGGTTTATTTTCAAACTTTGGCAAAGCAGTAGTACCATTTTGATCTTAATATTTGGTTTAAGTTTAGAAGACATTACTTGACAGAAATATCCAACGCTGGCTCTAAATGAACAGATGACACGAACAACGGATTGTAAAATTCACTGTTTATACCCTGAGTTTGAAATGTTACTCAGATTTTGTTAATCATTAGATTTTAGAATATCAGCCTATTAACGTAATTTATTTTCTTCATCTTAGCATTTTCTGGTGAAGAAACAAGATTGTTGATTGGTTGCTCTGTGTAAGGAGAATTTGTATTAACCAATCAGATTTCAACACAAAAGGCCATTCTCTCAGTCTAACTTGAAACAAGGATGTTCATTGGTTCCTCGATGTTGGAAATAATTTGTATTAGCCAATCTGATTTCAGAAGAAAACTTCCCCTCAGATCTTACAAACTGGAAAAGGAGCTTATTGATTGGCCGTTGAAAGCCAACTAAAAAATAAGAGAAACTCTCGGTCAAACAAACAAGGATGTTGATTAGTTGCTTTATGTCGAAAGAATTTCTATTAGCCAATCTGATTTCAAAAGAGAAAACTGTAAATCCATCTTGAAACAAGGATGTTGATTGGTTGTAATGTCGAAAGATTTTGTTTTAGCCAATCTAGCCAATCTGATTCAAAAGAGAAAACTGTAAATCCATCTTGAAAGAAGGATGTTGATTGGTTGTTGTATGTAAGAAGAATTTGTTCATCTAATTTCATTGCACTCATCACACTGTGACATCACTTCCTGGTGATAGTTCTCTACCTGAATAGTCACATGATAGAAGTCAAACTCAGATTTGAGTAATTTTTTAGCGTTTTGTAAAACGTTGTTATGTGTAACAATATTTTCTGAAAAAAAGAAATTAAAAGAAGTGTAATTATTAAAGAAGATAGGGATTGATATTGTAGAAAGGTTACTAAAAGATAAATATATATTACGATGTTGTTACGTAGGTTTGGAAATGGGGGGGTTGGGCTGGGTTGGATCTTAAGATTCATCTGATCCTCCCAATACAGTTTTTGGATTTGGAAGGTACTAACTGCAATATTATGACGAAATCCAAACAACATATTGGCAAAACATTAATAGCATCAAATGAACTTTTCAGTATATCAAAAACAATCTGATGATGACTTATTCAAGGTCATCAGACTTTCACACGAAGATTGTGAATAAAACTCACAGCCGCCATTTGATCGACGTAACCAAGTAAATGACGTCATGTTGACAACCAACAATCAACTTGGCTTATTTGGTAATCGGGCAGGACAACAAAGTTTGGCATTGCGTTCAGAAAGTCAAAAAAGTTGACTATTTTAGATATTCATACTTACTTATAGCTAAATGCACAGTAAGAGCGTTACGACCCAACGTCAATGACCATATATGGAGACTATGAAC